CTCACCGCTCTCTTGGCCTCGCAGGAGCCCACACAGGCTTCTGTGATCTCCTTGTAGTACAGCTGCTGCTCCACGGACAACTCGTGGATGCTTCGGGGCTTCAGCCGCAAAGGGGCCCCCTCCAGCAAGGGCGGCGCCTTCTTTTCTTTCCCTGTGTGAAGTGGGGAGACGGGTGTGGAAAAGAAGGCTCCAGAAGAAGCCGCAGAACCAGACAGGCCTTGACCCTCCGCTCACCCCCGACCCAGGAGGCCCGACTTCCTCGTAAGCGTCACAGTCCTTTCTGGGGCTGGCCGGCCGTGATCTCATCCACTCTACAGATGACCGTCTGGCTTTGGGGCAGGAGTCAGGAGAGACCCGGCCCAGAAGTACTGACCTTTGCCGTCAGCTGAGGCAGCCCCCTGACCTTTGCCTTTCAGGGGTCCGTCTTCCTCCTGGCCCGGTTTGGCTGACTTCAGAGGTTCCGTGGCCTCAGCCTTCTGCTGCTCTTTGGGAGCTGGTGGAAAAGCAGTCAGTTCGCGGAGTGACGAGCGCGGCAGGAGGAGTAAAAGAAGCACGGAGCAAGAGGCAGAGGGGCGGCATGGAGGTTACCTGGGGGTGGATTCTCTGGGATAGCGGGCTGGCAGCCTTCGATGCTTAGCCAGTGAGCTGCGAGGAAGGACAGTGCCAAGGTGAACTGCTGACCATGGCCACCAGGAAGGTGTGCTCTGTTCTTGCGCCCTTCTTGCGATTCACTGGGGTCTTCTGCACTTGTGAGGTTCCGCACACCCACACGCGTCTCTCCCTCCTCCCTGCCACCCTGCTCTCCCCCCCAACCTTTGAGGCAGACGTCCAGGGGCACCCGGGGCAGAGGGGTATTGATGATGTCGCTCAGATCAACCTCCTTCTCCTCATAGAAGTAAAGCTCCCGGCCCCCACCAGAGGCGAAACGGAAGGGAATGAACTCCTGAGCATGGAAGCCATAGAGCGGCTGTGTCCGGGGAGAGAGAGACACGAGGTGAGAAGGGAATCCAGGAGGCCCGGGCCAAGGCGTACGCGGCGTCTGGGAGGATGGCACCTCGCCACCTGCTCCCGCCACGGTCCTCCCAGCCCTTCCTGCCTCTCCCAGTCACCTCGACGTTCTTCAGCTTCAGGGCGTAGTCGATGTCGCTGGTGGTGAGCTTCTGCCGCTTCCCCATGTGCATGAACTTCAAGGCATCCTGGGTGGGTGGGAGAGCAGGTGTCAGGCCAAGCCCCAACGAGGAGGGGGCCTGGGCGCACCCTCGCCACGATGCAAAGCTGGGCAGACGGGCTGGGCCACCTGTGCAATCTCCTTGATGCGGTAGCTGACCTCATCCGTCAGGAGCTGGCAGGTCTCCTCCTGAATCTGGGCGATGCCCATTGACTCGGCCACTACCTTCATCGACTCCGAGGGCAGCACGGTGTTGCTGAGCTTGAGCTTCTTTTCTTCCGCCATTCTGGAGTCCCTCCTCCCCCACAAGGTGCTGCCCGGGGTGGCGAGGCAAAGACGCTGGAAGGGGCATGGGCAGGCGAAGAGAGAAAGAAACATGAGACCTCCAAAAGAGGAACTGGCCAGCTGAGACGGGCCAGCACAGAAGTGAGACAACGGCAATGGGAGCAGGGAGTTCGGGGCTCCTTCTGTCCATCCCCGTGTGTCACCCTGAGTTGTCACAGAAAAACAAATGTGATCCAATTCGCTGCACCTCACTGTGCCGCTACTCTGTGCAGGGCACTGTATAAGTGAGGCACAGCAGAAGAAACACAGACCTGACTTGAAATCCCAGCTCTACCACCACTGGGCGGCCTGGGCAAAATACTTAAGTTTCGGCATTCATCTCTGTAAAATGTGGAAAATGTCTTTTTCCCTAAGGTGTTTTTTTTTTTGATTCGGAATCTCACTCTGGAGTGCAATGGTACGATCACAGCCGCCGCCGCCTCAACCTGCCGGGCTCAGGCGATCCTTCCACCTCACCCTTCCAAGCAGCTGGAACTACAGGCATGTGCCACCACGACCAGCTAATTTTCTGGTTTATTGTAGAGACGAGGTCTCGCCAAGTTGCCCAGGCTGGTCTCAGACCCCAGGCTCAGGCAATCCTCTCGCCTCGGCCTCCCAAAGTGCTGGGATGACAGGCTTGAGCACCGCACCCAGCCTCCCCTAAAGTTCCTCTGCATAGACCTTCATCTCCCTTGCCCCTTGCATCATTACTCATGCTTGACAAAAATACACCATCAGTTAAATGCAATTCTCCCACTCTGGGCTTGTAGACCTGCACAACTGAATACGATGAGGAAAAATACAACCATGCTGACCGGTTTTCAATTTAAATTCGTAGCCATGAACTTTAAAGAGGCCCTTAATGCCGCCAGACAGTTCACTGTATTTCTCCAGCACACTCAAATCTCCCACTGTCCTGACATTTTGTCTCCTTCCTCACTTTCGCCTCTCAGGAGAGGACCTTCACAGATCCCTGTCGCCACGTCAGCCCACCTGGACCTGGCGGGCCTGGCATCCCCACACGCTCCACCTTTCCACCTGCTCCTGCAGAGAAGCTGTTCACGCTCCTCCCAACTCAAGTGCGGCTCCAGCCTTTCTCCCATCTTCCCGCAACATGATCACCAGTTTCCCAATCTACCAGATCACTCCCATCCATCTGCAAAACACAGTTGTTTCTCTCATCTTAAAAAAAAAGCGCTACCTGCACACAAGGCAATGTTGTTCAGCTTTCGAAAGACAACTCTGACACATGCCATGACACGGATGATCCTTGAAGACATGTTAAATGAAATATGCCAGTCGAAGAGGACAAACGCTGTATGATTCCACTAATACGAGGGCTTTGTCAAAATCGTAGACAGAAAATAGAATGGCAGCTGCCAGAGTTTACAGGGAGGTGAGAATGGGAGTTATTGCTGGACAGGTACTGAGTTTCAGTTCTGCAAGATGAGGTGTTCCAGACACATGAAATGTGAACATACTTAATGCTACAAACTGCACACTTGGAACTGGTTAGAAGGCTGGGCGCGGTGACTTACGCCTGTAATCCCACCACTTTGGGAGGCTGAGGTGAGAGGAGTGCCTGAGCCCACGGGTTTGAGACCAGCCTGGGCAACTTGGCAAGACCTTCTCCCTACAATTAAAAAAAAAAAAATTAGCTGGGCGTGGGGGCGCATGCCTGTAATTCCAGCTACTTGGAAAGCTGAGGTGAAAGGATCACCTGAGCCCAGCAGGTCGTGATTGCGGTGGCGGTGAGCATGACACTGCTCCAGCCTGGGCGACAACTCGAGTAAATAAATAAATAAAACTGGTTAGAGTGGTAAATTGCATGTGTATTTTGCCACAATTAAAGATTGTTTTAAAAACATTTTCTTGAAAACTTTTCCTTGTCCTTTTGTTCCCCTCTTCCTTCTCTAATAAACTTTAAAAACTTTAAAAAAAATTAAAATAAAAAATAAAACATTTTCTTGATTCTAGTTTCTCTGTGAGGTATATCCCATTTTTTCACTCTTCCTTACAACAAAAGTCCTTAAAAGGATGGTCTTGGGCTGGACACAGCAGCTCACGCCTGAAATCCCAGCACTCTAGGAGCCTGAGGCGGGAGGACTGCTTAAGCCCAGGAGTTTAAGACCAGCTTTCAACAAAGCAAGACCTCATCTCTGTTTTGTTTTGTTGTTTGAGTCGTAGTCTCACTGTTGCCCAGGCTGGAGTGCCGTGGCACGCTCACATCCACTGCAGCCTTGACCCACTGGGCTCAGGTGATCCTTCTGCCTCAGCTTTCGGAGTAGCTGGAACCACGGGCATGTGGCACCACACCCGGCTAATTTCTTTATTTATTGTAGAGATGAGGTCTTGCCATGTTGCCCATCCCTGAGCTCAGGCAATCCTCTTGCCTCGGCCTCCCAAAGTGCTGGGATCACAGGCTTGAGCCACCACGCCCAGCAAGACCTCATCTTTAAAAAAAAAAAAAAAAAGCATTGGTGGTCTTAACTCTTTCTCTAATTCCTCTGCCCCCATCTTAAACCCACTCCAATCAGGTTTCCACCCCTACTTGGTCCCCAAGACGACTCGTCAAGGCCACCAATGACTGTACACTGCTAAACTAAAGGTCCATTCTCAGTCCCCATCTTATTTGACCTCTCAGCTGTATACAGCATAGCTGACACTCCTCTCGGGAAACAGTTTACTTGTCTGCCATACCACCTTCTCTTGGTTTTCCAAGCTAGTTTCCTTCCATTCTGCTTCCTCCTGCCTCACTACCACTCCATTTCTTTTATTGGTTTTTCTTCTCCCCGTGGGCTTAATGTCAGTGCCCGGGCTCAGTCAGTCCTTGGTCTTCCTCTTTGGCTACACTTACTCCCTTGGTGACCTCAACCACTCTCACCGCTTTAAATATTGCTTAGAGGCTGATGATGGTCAGATTTATACTTCCTGCTCAGTGCATTCTTCCTAACTCCAGACCTGTATATAAAACTGTCTACTCGGCCAGGCTCAGGGACCCAAGCCTGTAATCCAGGCACTTTGGGAGGCCGAGGTGAGGGGACTGCCTGGGCCCAGGGGTTCTAGAACATGGAAAACATGGCAAGACCTCATCTCTACAATAAACCAAAAAATTAGCCGGGCGTGGTAGCGTATGCCTATAGTTCCGGCTACTTGGAAGGCTGAGGTGGAAGGATCGCCGGAGCCCAGCAAGTTGATGCTGGGGTGGCTGTGAGCATGCCACTGCTCTCCAGCCTGGGTGACAGAGTGAGACCCTGAGTCAAAAAAATAAATAAGCCGGGCCCAGTGGCTCCAGCACTTTGGGAGGCTGAGGTGAGAGGACTATCTGAGCCCAGGGGTTCAAAACCAGCCTGGGCAACTTGGAAAGACTGCGTCTCTATAATAAATCAAAAAAATAATAATTAGCTGGGTGTGGTGGCGTGCCTACAATAAAAAAATAATAATTAGCCAGGTGTAGTGGCGTGCCCCTGTAGTCCAGCTACTTGGATGGCTGAGACAGAAGGATCTTCTGAGCCCAGCAGGCTGAGGCTGCGGTAGCTGTGAGCGTGCCACTGCACTCCAGCCCGGGCAAGAGTGAGACTCTGACTCAGATAAATAAATAAATAGATAAAATAAAACTGTCTACTCAACCCTTAACCCTCCACCTTACCCCAATCCAGACCTGACCTCCTCTCAGGCTTCGTGGTGCTTTCTGGGGCTCTCTGGCCCTGACCTCACCTGCTTCACACATGACCATCTGGCTTTGGGGCCCGAGGCGGGAGAGGCTTGGCCCCGAGGGACTGACCTTCCTAGTGTGGAGTGACTCCCCAGTGTCCACGCTCAGCAACAGAACTTGACACCTTCCTTCCTCACAGCTCGCTGGCTCTGCATCACAGGCTGCCGGGCCCCATCCCCGAGGATGCATGGCAAATGTCCTCCTTCCTTGTGCTGCCACTGTCCCCGTCCTCCTTCCCTCACTTGTCCTGCCCGTCTTGTGACGCCTCCGCTGCCACCACTTTCCCTCTGGCTCCAGCCCTGGCTTTCCTCACTTCCCAGCAGTGCCACCCTGCCAGGCTCTTGCTCCTGGTCTGAGCCTTCGTATCCGATCCACCAGATGAGGTCAGGGCCAGAGAGCCCCAGGCTGGTCCCTCCACTGCCACGGCAGCCAGGTCACCGTCATCCATCACCTACCTGGGTCACTCTACCAGCCCCAGGGCGAGGTCTCCTGGCTTCCACCCCTGCCACTCTACCTCTGTTCCTCCTGTAGCAGCCAAAATGACTCAACACGGAAACCAGACTGTCATTTCTCTGCTTAAAACCCTGTAAGGGCGCCTTGGTTGCCACAGAGTAAAACCCCAGATCCTGTCATATCCCACAAGGCCCCTCAAGACCTGCCTTCTCCCTGTTGCATCTTTGAGCTCTGTTCCTTCCTTCTTCTCCCTCGATCCAGCCACATCGGCCCTCTGGCTGTGCTTTGAACTTGCCAGACATGCTCTGCCTTACAGCCTTTGTTCCTTTCCTTCTGCCTGGAAGGTTCTTCCTAGCTGTCAGCTTGGCTAAGGACCTTCACCACCCTATCTAATTCTGCACGCTGCCCTCGGTCTGCTCTACTTTTTCTTTTCCATAGCACCTAACATGTTCTAATACACTGTATCCTTTTTTTTTTTTTTTTGAGTTGGAGTCTCACTCAGTCAGCCCCGGCTGGAGGGCCGTGGCACACTCACGGCCACCGCAGCCTCCACCGGCTGGGCTCAGGCAATTCTTCTGCCTCAGCCTTCCAAATAACTGGAACTGCGGGCACGCACCACCAGGCCCGGGTAATTTTTTTCATTTATTGTAGAGATGAGGTCTCACCAAGTTGCCCAGGCTGGTCTCAAACCCTTGAGCTCGGGCAATCCTCTCACCACGGCCTCCCAAAGTGCTGGGATTACAGGTTTGAGCCACCACGCCGGGCCTCATTGTGTCGTTGTTTATTGTTTATTACTCCCACCACCCATCACGTGGACAGGGATCTTTGTTCAGTGGATGGATGTATTCCAGGAGCTCAGACTGGTGCATGGGACACCGTTTAAGTAATAAATACTTGGAGAATAAATGAGTGGATCTGAAGGCTTAGAGATGTTGGGGCTCAATACACACCCCACAGTACTATTATTAACAGGGCCAGGCGCGGTGGCTCACGCCTGTAATCTCGACACTTTGGAAGGTGGAGACAGGAGGACTGCTTGAGCCTGGGAGTTCGATACCTCTCTGGGCATCAACGTGAGACCTCATCTCTACCAAAAAAAAAAAACAATAATAAAGATGAACAGAACGTAGGCCCAAGCTTGGAGTCTACACTGTGGTCAAAAGCGAAGTGGTATGCTTGGAGCTGGGCGTCAGGCAGACTGACATGACTAAGTGTTCAGGGCCGAGTGCAAGCTGGAGGGGTGGAGGCGTGCGAGGGGACGGGGAGATGGGGGCCGACAAACAATTCGCTTCTTTTAAAACCATCCCGGGTCTCCTCTCCCACTTCTACAAGTCTTATCATAGGGAACACAGTTATCAATCACATACTCTGCTGGCGCCGGGTTTACGAGAAGCGGTCGTGTCCCACTTCCCTGGCGAACTCCTATCAAGCCTTCAGCACCCTGCGGTACCCTCCGCCAGCAAAGGCTCGTAAAACACGCTACCGCCTCAGGCGCTCCTCAGATCAGTGGGGGCGGCAGGCAGGCTTCCGAACAGGGGAGGTTAACTTGAGCCAATCTGGGCTGTGGTTTCCCCGTCGAAGAAGCAGGTCGACGATCGCCGGGCGGCTGCCAAGGCGGCTCAGAGAGCCCGCTCCATCTCCCGCAGCGTGCCCGCGAGGCGCGCGCGCACGCGCACACGCGCGCACACGCACACACACACACGGAGTCCCCACGAGCACGCACACACAGCCGACCGTCCTCTCGCCCGTCCCCTCACGGGCCCTTCGGAGGGTCTCCCCGGGCGCCGCCCAGGCCCACCCCCGCCAGCCCGGCGTCGGGGCGGGAAGCGTCTCTCACCGCGGCCGAGACGCCGCTCAGCCGGCGCCCGGCGCCATCTTGGCCCCGCCCCCTCCTGGGAACGGGTCCCGACAGAGACGAGGAGCCAGCCCCGGCCCCTGGCCCGTGCTCGAGTAAGACCTCGAGGCTCACGGCCGGAAGCCTTGGTGCCTAGGAAACTGGCTTGTATGGCGGCCGGCACGCAGCACCCCTCTTGCTCGGGTCCCCTCAACGCATCCCTCGCTGCCCAGCGGCCAGGACCTGCGCGAGGCGCCACGAAACGGAGGCGGGGCAGC